AACGAACATGCTCGGAAGGAGCGAACGAGTTAAAACACGCGCGATCCAATTTTATCACTCGCGTCGAATCGAGGCGCGTGGGCGCAAAAGTTAGCCCGGCAAAAAAAAAAAAAAAGGAAAAAAGGAAAAAAAAGAAAAATATAGAGGAGAGTGAAAAAGGGAAAAAAGCGGAACGAAGTAGGCGACAGGGGAAAAATTGAATTTCATTAATGAAAAACGTTTGCGCGTGCGGAAATCACCAAAAATCACTGACGCGTTTTATTAGTTATCGCATGTCCACGAGAGATTTCGATTCCCCGGAGAACCTCTCGTGCAGAGGGAAAAAGCTGTTATATTTGCCGTGGCAGGATCCTCGGAAATTTAAATTCGTATTCGGGATCGACTAGTAGACGAAATGTCTGCTCGGGAAAGACGCGAATATCGAGAACGAAAATTCCACACGTACGAGGCCCGGATCCGGCGAAAAGGATCGCGCCGTTTGTTTCGCGAAGAGTCCATCGATCCTGCGAAACATGTTCCCGGCGTGTAACGAAGGAACAGTCTGCTTGGCAAGAATCATTAAAACTTGCGGAACCGACCCTCGGCCGTGGTGTCAAACGAAAGAAGCCCAAAGATATATCTCTCCCGAACGGGAAAGTTTCCTCTCGAGCGCGATTCTTAGCTTCCTCCCGCGTTCCTGTTCTCCTTCCGACCCAAACTGCTCCTGACTAAGCGGTATTCTCGGGGAGGTGTCGACCAGAACGGAAAGTTAACTGATAAATAGCGGCTAATACTTCAGCGGCATCGGCGTCTGCTAGAATTTCGGAGCCACTTAGAGCCGTTTCTCAGGAAGGTAGATTTCTCGGAATTCCGCTGGAACGTTTCCCGTTTAACGCGCTCGCTGCATCCGTCGCGCAGTTTTTGCGTCCCCCGCCTGTCAACGACGTTGAACGATCGCTTCCTCGCTTCGGGAAGCTTCTTGCCCCGTTACGGAATGGACTCCCGAGATGATGGGTGATCTCGAGGAACCAGTCCGGACCGAGAAGAAGCGACCACTCGCGATTCACTCACGACTAAACACAACTTTTCGATATCGCGCGTGGTCTATCGGAAAAAAGTGAGAGAGAGAGAGAGAGAGAGAGTGATGGAGGGAGTACTTTACGTCAATTACGGTTAAAAAGGGCACGGGAGTGCAATATTTCATAGAAAAAGCGCGTCATTGCGGAAACGTTGGCCGATTCACGAGAAACGGGGGCGGGGGGGAGGGGCAGTCGAGGGGTGGGTGATCGAAAAGCAATCAAAAACGCGAGAACTCGGGCCAGTTATCGAGGGGCGCGTCGGTGGAGAATGCGCGTGGACGGGCGTGCGGCGCGGATAATCGAACTGGCCGCGGTCCGACGTAAAAATGGTAACTTTATCCGCGACATGAATACTAATTGGCGACAGGAGCGTATTCTCCCGCGGCACTCGTGGTCGCCGCACTTTTCGAAAGCTCGCTTAATTCGGCCCGATGTCATTAACGTTTCTGATTCGCCGATAAATTATTCAGGGTAATTGGATTCGGGCCGGGTATAAAATCCGCCGGTCAATATCGTATGACCTGCCCCCGGCCGCGATCGGCAAAACCAACACGCCCGATCCGCGCTCTCACGGGGGACGTTTCACACGCCGGCAAACAGGGGAGAACAATCGGGATCGCTGTTTACTATTTACCGATAGAACGATAGCTTATCACCGAATCGTGAGCAAGGTGCCCGCTGAATCCTTGAAAACGCACGAGCGAGCGTGCCCCGCTCCACGATCGCAACGATGAATTTCGCGTTGATGGATCTCCGTTTTAAAGCCGGTGGATAAAGTCCTCGTCACACAGATCGACGCAAAAGCGACAGATACGAGATCCTACTACCTTTCGACGCCCGAAAAACCCCGCGACTCGACGAGTTAACGCGTCGTTTCTCCGCCGTACGCGTAACCTCGCAATATCCGTATCGACGACGAAGAATTTTCCAGCAGGTTGTACATTTGTGCGCGTGAACGTTACAGGTACGCCGGACCGTGCAGCGCGCAACGGGGCGGCTCGTTCAACCAGTCAAGGATAGTCACCCCCGAATAGGATTCGCGCCACGAGCAGGGGTGAGTTAAGCTATTTTTAGTTCGCTGGCGGAGCGAGCTCGTTACGTGCTTCGATTTTATGATAATGCACCCTCTCCTGTGCTAACGAGGCAACGTTCGACGCCCGATAACCATGGCCGCCGAGGGTTACGACGATGGGGCGACGCTTTCGAAATTCGATTCCCTTTTCGAGATGCGCGGCGATTAATCGAAGGAGAGCCATTGTTCCACGCGGGCTTGCGAGCAGCGTGCGCCAAACCAGCCACGACGTCCTTCTTCTTCTTCTTCTTCTTCTTTCGCGAGGGATGAAATTAAAAGGCAAAGAAGGAAAGGGGAAAAAGCGAAGGAAATTGCATCGCGTGGCAGTCCTTTGAAAGGCTGTTCCGAGTTCTCCGGGGAAAATTCACGGTCCGCGGAATGAAAGGAAGGAGGAAACAGACGTCGAATGCAACTGCAAAGAGAGAAAGACGCGGACGGAAAGCGAGGAAGGTGGCCCGAAGACGAGGCCGCGAATTAATTAAGAGCCTGTGAGTTACCGCGCGGCAAATAAGACGAGACTTCCGGGATGTTCGCCGTCAAAATATTTCGTACAGATTGCTGGGCTCACGCTGGAACGCCAACGATGACTGCGATGCAACCTGGCCCGGATGAAATTTTCCCCCCATGCGTTTTAATATAGTTCCCGAGCTTCCGGCGAGATCGAGACTTTCCCGTTCGCGGCACTTTGTTAACGAAGCTGGAATTTTACCTCGCGACGACCGATTAAATTTGTCCCCGATAATTCTATTCCGCTCGTCATACCGGCAGCCATAAACCGCGTCAAATGCTACCGACGAGATCCCCCGACGTCTCGCTATCGCTATCGCGTTTACCCCGATGACTCGTCGCGCGTATCGGAACAGAGACGATTAAAGATATCGGATTTGCCGTTTACCAGCGTCCCGTCGTCGCTGCTACCTTGCCCGCGTCCCGCAAGGAACACGGTGGCAACGAAAATGGAATATTCGAGGATCGAGCGAGCAGCTTGGCGTACCTGATCGTTTATCGCGACAACTGCTCTCCAGTTGCCGAGGGGCAGAGAAACAAAGCACCGATGTGGCATGATTGATCCTATCGCGGAGGAACGCCGGGCCAACTCGTGCGTCGGAAGAATAAAGGCCAGGCGAATCCAGAGAGAGAGAGAGAGAGAGAGAGAGAGAGAGAGAGGGTGAGAGAGCAAGAGAGGACGGAAGATGGATAGATGGAGCGATAGATAGAGAAACGGAGAGAAAAAGATGTCTACGTCGATTCTCGACGGGATACGAGAGCAGCGTGCTGCGAATACGTGCAACGTGTGTGTACGCAAATGAAGTCGATGGTGTGCGCGAGGGCGCATCTTTTCCAAGTGTCTCGGCGACGTCTGAAAGAGGAAGAGAAATAACGGGAACAAGGGACAGAAGGATAGGTTGAAGAATGTGCACTCAACGTGATTGGTGCAGCGCCGCGGCGGTGCACACTGGAGGCTGTCTGCATGAAAACTTGAGAATTTCCACTCGGGCACTCGTATGCGTATACGGCCTCCAACGGTATGCCGTTGCCGCCCCTCTGCCTCGCTGCGTCTTCCGAGAACGACCAAACAATGCTCTCCACTTTCTCTCCGGGTACCGACTTCACGGAAAATTTCTAGGAATTCAGGCTGTTCACGCGACACGAGCAACTTATTCGACTGGTTTATTCTAA